AGAAAAGCGGGGAGGTCCCGGCTCCGGGGCGGGGCTGCGGGTCCCCGCGGGTTGCCAGGCGCCCTGGGCTGCGGTGCGGCGGTACGGGCCGGCGAACTGAGCGTTCGCGGGTACTCCGAGCAGGTGCACGAGGGCCGTGGCTGTCCCACTGCGGCCACCTCACCGGGCACAGCAGCCTGGCAGTCCCCAGCCGCCCCTCGGTAGGTGCTGCACCCCCGCCGCGTCACCCCTCCCTCCTTCTCCTTCCTGAGCGCCAGGGCTGCCTCGCCAGATCCTGGGCAGCGGGCAGCGCCACCCCCACCCCCAAGTCGCGGGCCTGACACCGGGCTCTCCCGGTGCAGAGACCGGTTCTGGAATCTCCAGTGACAAGAGTAGGATCCGCAGTTCCTTATCGAACCCGGAACGGGGTGGGCGGCAGGCAGGCCGAGAGTACGTTATTGCAGCCTTGGCCCAACGGTGCTGGACGTCTTCATTCTCTTCTTTAAAAAAGCGGCCGATGTCTTAAGCATGAAGCACGTTAGTGGGATACAGCCTGTCTCTAAAGCCCTCTCTGCCCGGTGTAATATTAATAGAAACAGATGAGATCCATCCATGAAAGACTTGCAGAAAAGGCCGGCTGCAGCTCTTCTGTACAGATCGTTAGTTCGTTTCTATGAGATATTTGCATTTGGGGAGCAGGTGGAGCTACCGCGGAGAAGTGGGTGATAACGGCAAGGACTCCTTCCTCAAATGTCAACATCACCACGTCCGCTCCAGGAGCTCTGACCAAGACGTGTTCTGTCGCTTCGTTTTCCCCGTGTTTTCGCCTCACTGCTGCCTTTTCAGCATAATCCAAGAGCCCATCACATTTTGGCAGGAACCATTATGGTAGAAAGAAACGGGGGTCAGATGATGCTCAAAAAAACACACAAACAAACAAAAATAAAACCCTGAATTCCACTGTCTGGAATAATGACGAGACTCAATTATGCCTCAAGGCCATGGGTACTTCTGGGTTTCCTTAATCGTTAATCGATTATTTAGAAATTCAAGCAATCACTCCAGGGTGCTGCAGGCGAATCTTAAAGTACCAATTTTACTTAAATGGCAAAGAACTTTCCTGGAAGAAAAACGTGTCGAATTTAAGTGTGAAAATTTTTACATCAAAAAAGGCAAATGGTTTCCTCATTAACAATGGACAATAATGCTTGCAGATCTAAGGCGTTAGCATTTCCTGAAAGGGGTTTCAGCTTTGAAATCTCCGAATGAAACTTGTAAGACTTATTTTGGTTTATCCCAAAATGATAGAAAATGTCTTGTGTTTTGTACACACCTGCATAAGTCACCTTTTAGTGAATACTTCTTGGGGAAAACAAACAAGTAACATGTCAACTACTTGTGCTTAGTGAGTACTTTCTCTGCTAAGGTTCTCATTCTTAATGGGCACAAGGAGCTTAGTGGGTGGGTATTAGTATTAAATCCACTGCATAAGTAAAGAATGTGTGGGGGCCAACCTTGGTTTGCTAGTTAAAGGGGCTGGATCCCACACTGCTGACTGCCTGACCAGCGGCTCCAGAAACACACCCGGAGCTTGTGCATGCGTGCCCGACATCCCGACAGGAGAGATGGAGACAAAGGGATTGCGCACGGCCATGGGGGAGTGCTTTTTCACTTTCCCTCTCTCCCTCTCTCTCCCAGTCTCTCTGCACAGTGCATCTGCCCTCTAGCAAATTTAAAAACAAACAAACAAAAAGGGAATGTGAGGGTTAAGAGCAATGAGGGGCAGGCTGGAATTTAACGTCTGTTCTGTCGGATTCCACGATCCTCATTGAGCACGTCTCATCTCTTCCTGCGCCTCTTTCCTGAGGACAGATCAGAGCCCTTGGACTGAGAGATATACCACTCACCTCCTACCTACTGGGAGAGTTGCCTTCTCTAGATTTTAACCAAGCCAATTTCAGTTTCCAAACGTCATAAAAGAGAACAGCTAAAAGTTAAGAATCGAAACCAAAGGCAGAAAGGTTGGCTGAATGCCAAGTCTGTTAAGGTGGCCCTAGTACCCTCCAACCTCAGCCCAGTCTCCATCAGCACCCTTGACGCAGTGGAGGGGGTTTCCAGGAAGGAGAACCCCAGATCAGTCAGTCACCCCTGGATTCCTCTCTATTCTGGTACTTTGTTCCACGGGATGCTGCAGATCAGCTGAGGAGGCGCCCCCTTAAAAAGGAGGTGTGTCCCTGGAGCTGGGTGGGGGCTAGGCTCTATATCTAGGAGGCAGAGGTGCTGGACTCTGTGACAGCGGGTACCCTGGACAGACATGGCACTGGCCGAGGAGCTGTATAGCACCCCGGCCGCCAGGCTGGACTCCTTCGTGTCTCAGTGGCTGCAGCCCAACCGTGAGTGGAAAGACGAGGTGCTGGAGGCGGTGCAGACGGTGGAGCAGTTCCTAAGAGAGGAGCACTTCCAGGGGGAGCGCGGTCTGGACCAGGTGCGGGTGCTGAAGGTGGTCAAGGTGAGACCGGGCCGGCTACCCACATCCAAGAGTTTAAATCCCCATGAGGATGCGGGGGGAGAGGGCAACCCCTCGCCTTGTTATCTCTGATCCACCCTGCTGACCTCTCAGGACACCCGCCTAGCTGTCTACACCCCACTGCACAATTGCCTTGAGCAAAAAACGAATCTGGTAAATAAGCTAGTGGCTCCACTAGCCTAACCCTTTAATATACATTGTCTCTCACTCTGGTGCCCTATGAGCTAGGCATTATTAGTATTCCTTTTTACAGATGAGTAAAACAGAGGCGCAGAGGTTTAAGATTCATAATGACCAAATGAAATGTAAGGTCTTGGATTGGATTGGATTCCTGTGTGAATACATCATTTGTAAAATATAGCTCAGGGACAATAAGGGAAATATTTTCTTCTAGTTGCCTGGGGGTCCACACTCATCAGATAGACGGAGTAGGGTGGGGAAGGCTCCCCCATGAGACATGGTGGGTCATGTTGCAATATCTTCTCCATTTCTTCATCCTGCCAGGATTCAGGGGACACACACACGCACACACACATACACACACACACACACCAGGCATGGTTTTCAACCCACTGGAGCTGGAATGCCAACCACATTTGGCCATGTGGAATCCAGCTTCCTTAACCACAGGTTATAGGGCTGGCCCAGGGAAATTCTAATATGGTCTGAATATCAGATAATACAGGAAAGTTCAGAAAGTTTGTAGAAAGCAAAATCAAAGCACAATTTTATTTTGGTGCAAAAACATTTTTTTTTTAATCCATGCATAGTTTTTTCAAAATACACTTTCTCCATTAAATGTTTTTGCACCTGGGACATGAGGAAATCTTTTATTTTGTTAAATATAATAGTAATTTTTGTGGTTATAGCAGAGTCAAAATACACTTTCTCCATTAAATGTTTTTGGACCTGGAAAATGAAGAAATCTTTGATTTTGTTAAATATAATAGTGATTTTTGTGGTTATAGGAGAGAATATTTTCTTTTTCTTTTTTTTTTTGGAGAGATTTTCACTATAGGGCGCATGCGCTCGCTAGACAGACAGAGACATAGAGACAGAAAGCGAGAAATCACCCCCCAGGGGGGATGGTCACGCAGCAATCCCTTCTCCTCCATTCTCCTCTTGGGATCCTGGGCACGCATGCACACGTGCCCGGCGTGAGTTCTAAGCCACCGGGTCCGGGATGCGAACCGCAGTCGACTACGTGGGAGTCCAGCGACATAGCCATTATGCTAACTGCTGGTTCCCAATATTTTCTTTTTTTTGAACAGAAATGCCAAAGTATTTAGGGGTAATTTTCCCTGGTATCTATAATTTCCTTTAAAGACTTGTTGAATGTAACTGGTTGAATATACAAGGAAATTTTTTTTTCATGGAGGAAATCTCATTTCTTTCTCTTTTTTAAATAATTATTTAATTTTATTTATTTTTATTTTTAATTTGACCAGAGAGA